GAAAACTTCCCATTCAACTGTTGTTATTGTTCTAAATAGCCTCTTGGTGCTTCGGAGCTTATTAACTGTTTAATAATTGTAAACAAAGCCGCCAAAGATTGAGAAAAGATGTACAGGTTCGTAGGTGTTTGCGTAAGTTCTTTCGTGAATCTGGCCCCTGATCTTAACAAACAATGGCTGACCTTTTCACACTGGCGCTCCTGGCTCACTTTGTCCAGATGTCAGTAACTGATGGAAGAGTCACATTTACTCTATTTTGACACTGATAATTAAGTTAAATCAAATGAGATGTTTTTATGATGTAACCCTGGAAACACAAACCGTAACTTCCTCTATTTTCCGCTTGTTACAACTTGTAATAAAGTTGTTACATCTTGGCTTAACGTGTTTATGACGTATTAGAACGGAGTTACAACTTGCTATATTGGTTGTTATAACTGGTTAGGAAGTGTTAAAACTTGTTCGAACGTTGTACCAACGTCGTAGTTTCGGTGTGTGTTTGGCGGGAATAAGTCCAAAGAATGGTGAATTTATAGTACTATGTGGCAATGATATCCCGTTTTCTATTGACGGAAAATTTCACTACAAGCTACATTTTCTATGGGTTAACTTGTGTATACAACAGCAGCAATATTATAATGTAATATTACATGTAATATTATTAAATGGTATCGGGTTTTTCGACACCAGTTCTTCTTGGGACATGAGCTAAGTAAAGTCAAGCCAGTCCTCGGGCCGGGCTTGGGAAGTAGAAGAACTCCCTGATCCCCATCAAGCTGGTATGAGTACCTTAAGTAGTTTAGGTTAGATGCACATCTTTTGCATGATTGATTTGACCCAAGACGTCCTTTTTTATGTGTTGCATGTTGATTTGTTGTCTGGTGATGATCTCGTATGATCACGACTCACAGGATTGAAAGGCAGAGTTGGACAGAGTAATACAGAGTAGACTGACATGTATTGTTGTAAGAGTATTGATACCAGGCAAAGAGTTGCAGGTCATGTTCAGCAACCGTAGTAGCAGGTCATGTTCAGCAACAGTAGTAGCAGGTCATATTCAGCAACAGTAGTAGCAGGTCATGTTCAGCAACAGTAGTAGCAGATCATGTTCAGCAACAGTAGTAGCAGGTCATGTTCAGCAACAGTAGTAGCAGGTCATGTTCAGCAACAGTAGTAGCAGGTCATGTTCAGCAACAGTAGTAGCAGATCATGTTCAGCAACAGTAGTAGCAGATCATGTTCAGCAACAGTAGTAGCAGGTCATATTCAGCAACAGTAGTAGCAGGTCATGTTCAGCAACAGTAGTAGCAGATCATGTTCAGCAACAGTAGTACCAGATCATGTTCAGCAACAGTAGTACCAGATCATGTTCAGCAACAGTAGTACCAGATCAGGTTCAGCAACAGTAGTAGCATGAAGTTATAATCCTAAACAGTAACATTGCGTAACGTAACGCAACATCAGTAGGAAGAGATCAAGCGACGCAACACGGAATTAAGAGCTCACGTGATGAAGCAACGACGGAATTAAGAGCTCACGTGATGAAGGAACAACGGAATTAAGAGCTCACGTGATGAAGCAACGACGTAATTAAGAGCTCACGTGATGAAGCAACGACGGAATTAAGAGCTCACGTGATGAAGGAACAGTGACTTAAGTGCATCATTTAGTTAACTAGATAAAGAGCAATGGTGGAATAGGTCATTCCCGGTCCATCTCAACTTTTAATATAACTAAAATCAACCATCACAAATTACCAACAAAACGCTTAGTCAAATTTTTAATGCCTATTTAAGGGCTTAATTTATAATGTAATCATAATGTCCAAATTTGTCTTTTTGGTCAGCAGCGAGATATATATGTGACTAATGAATGGACCTTTTGTCAGCCAGAAGAGTTTAGATGAACCTTCAGTCAACACGACCGGTATAGTTGGACCTTCAGTCAACACGGCATGTATAGTTAGATCTTCAGTCAACACGACCTGTATAGTTAGACCTCTAGTCAACACGACCGGTATAGATGGACCTTCAGTCAACACGGCCTGTATAGTTAGACCTTCAGTCAACACGACCTGTATAGTTGGACCTTCAGTCAACACGACCTGTATAGTTGGACCTTCAGTCAACACGACCTGTATAGTTAGACCTTCAGTCAACACGACCTGTATAGTTAGACCTTCAGTCAACATGACCGGTATAGTTAGACCTTCAGTCAACACGACCTGTATAGTTAGACCTTCAGTCAACACGACCTGTATAGTTAGACCTTCAGTCAACACGACCGGTATAGTTGGACCTTCAGTCAACACGACCGGTATAGTTGGACCTTCAGTCAACACGACCGGTATAGTTGGACCTTCAGTCAACACGACCGGTATAGTTGGACCTTCAGTCAACACGACCTGTATAGTTGGACCTTCAGTCAACACGACCTGGTTAATGCAGGCAGAATAATCCGACATTTAATAAGTGTATTCCACATAGCACAACCTTCTTGTTTGTGCGGCCGCCATACAACGACCTTTCTGCCATTGTGGTCGTTATAGTGCAACGTTATAGTGAATGTGGTTGATATAAAGAGACATTTTAGAAACCAGTAGAGATCTGTTGTAACCCAGTACTCAGGGCAATCTCTGTAGTCCGGCCATTAGACCAAAACGTAACACTGGAATTGAACTGCAATATTTTACATACCACAGAGTCTATTACAGATTAAGAAAGTAATTAGAAACAGCAATGCAAAAGATGTACAGTGACCACAACACAACAGTTGCAATATCAGGATCTGCGGGTTGGCACAAGAATTCAACCAACTACGAACCACTTAGTTTGATGAAAGGGAGCAGTAGAGCAACAGAAGTACACTTACATCGCATCAGGCTTGGATACCCATGTGCATGGGAAATAGGCTTACAGGTTCCGGAAGATGAGAGGAAATGTCAGCACTGTGGAGAAATGCCCGACAGACCACTGGAACATTATCTAACACAGTGCACAGTTACAGCCACAACAGACCACTGGAACATTATCTAACACAGTGCACAGTTACAAACCCATTAAGATTTCAACTTAGATTCAACAGAGCAGAAGAAGTTGTTAAACACATATGGCAAAATCTTACTGAGGCGAACATACGAGTCATAAATACTCATACTCCGCCCAAGTAAAACAGAAACAAGCAACACTTAGTGGGCCAGCCATAGGCTTAGGGCCCGCCCAGTGGACCAGCCAGAGGCTTAGGGCCCGCCCAGTGGACCAGCCAGAGGCTTAGGGCCCGCCCAGTGGACCAGCCAGAGGCTTACCCTGGAAACACAAACCGAAACTGTCTCTATTTTCCGCTTGTTACAACTTGAAATAAAGTTGTTACATCTTGGCTTCACGTGTTTATGACGTATTAGAACGTTGTTACAACTTGCTATATTGGTTGTTATAACTGGTTAGGTGGTGTTAAAACTTGCTCGAACGTTGTACCAACGTCGTAGTTTCGGTGTGTGTTTGGTGGGTAGGGCCCGCCAGTGGACCAGCCAGAGGCTTAGGGCCCGCGCAGTGGACCAGCCAGAGGCTTAGGGCCCGCCCAGTGGGCCAGCCAGAGGCTTAGGGCCCGCCCAGTGGGCCAACCATAGGCTTAGGGCCCGCCCAGTGGGCCAGCCAGAGGCTTAGGGCCCGCGCAGTGGGCCAGCCAGAGGCTTAGGGCCCGCCCAGTGGACCAGCCAGAGGCTTAGGGCCCGCCCAGTGGACCAGCCAGAGGCTTAGGGCCCGCACAGTGGACCAGCCATAGGCTTAGGGCCCGCCCAGTGGGCCAGCCAGAGGCTTAGGGCCCGCCCAGTGGGCCAGCCATAGGCTTAGGGCCCGCGCAGTGGGCCAGCCAGAGGCTTAGGGCCCGCCCAGTGGGCCAGCCATAGGCTTAGGGCCCGCCCAGTGGACCAGCCAGAGGCTTAGGGCCCGCACAGTGGACCAGCCATAGGCTTAGGGCCCGCCCAGTGGGCCAGCCAGAGGCTTAGGGCCCGCCCAGTGGGCCAGCCATAGGCTTAGGGCCCGCCCAGTGGGCCAGCCGTAGGCTTAGGGCCCGCCCAGTGGGCCAGCCGTAGGCTTAGGGCCCGCCCAGTGGGCCAGCCGTAGGCTTAGGGCCCGCCCAGTGGGCCAGCCGTAGGCTTAGGGCCCGCCCAGTGGGCCAGCCAGAGGCTTAGGGCCCGCCCAGTGGGCCAGCCAGAGGCTTAGGGCCCGCGCAGTGGGCCAGCCAGAGGCTTAGGGCCCGCCCAGTGTGCCAGCCAGAGGCTTAGGGCCCGCCCAGTGGGCCAGCCAGAGGCTTAGGGCCCGCGCAGTGGACCAGCCAGAGGCTTAGGGCCCGCCCAGTGGACCAGCCAGAGGCTTAGGGCCCGCCCAGTGGGCCAGCCAGAGGCTTAGGGCCCGCGCAGTGGACCAGCCAGAGGCTTAGGGCCCGCGCAGTGGGCCAGCCAGAGGCTTAGGGCCCGCGCAGTGGGCCAGCCAGAGGCTTAGGGCCCGCGCAGGAATATCTCTGCCAAAACAACAACAACAAAAATTGCAATATCAGCAGAAAGAACCCATAAAAAAAGGACAATACGATCTAAAATATGAGGGAATATATATATGAAAACTCTGCCATGTGTGAAACTTTTGGGCGAAGTTTATGCGCGTTATAAACATTGACTCGGTTATACACGCAGGGTATAAACACCGAGATATATATATATATATATATATATATATATATATATATATATATATATATATATATATATATATATATATAACTTCTCGGAGAATATACAACGATTATTTTGTGCTGGACTGTATTCTGGAATACAATATACCTGCTGGTTACTGTATTCTGGAATACAATATACCTGCTGGTTGGTCAGTAAAGTTGGATGACGACTTGATAATCATCCAGACGTGGATAGGCCGTAATCTCAACACCAGACTAACAAACACGATAATGAAATCTTTTGCCACTGGTAAAACTTATTACATTATGGAGGAAAAGAGTAACTGTGGAGTTACAACCTGTGGAGTCACAACCTGTGGAGTTACAACCTGTGGAGTTACAACCTGTGGAGTTACAACCTGTGGAGTTACAACCTGTGGAGTTACAACCTGTGGAGTCACAACCTGTGGAGTTACAACCTGTGGAGTCACAACCTGTGGAGTCACAACCTGTGGAGTCACAACCTGTGGAGTTACAACCTGTGGAGTCACAACCTGTGGAGTTACAACCTGTGGAGTTACAACCTGTGGAGTTACAACCTGTGGAGTCACAAGCGGTGGAGTTACAACCTGTGGATTCACAACCTGTGGAGTTACAACCTGTGGAGTTACAACCTGTGGAGTTACAACCTGTGGAGTCACAACCTGTGGAGTTACAACCTGTGGAGTTACAACCTGTGGAGTTACAACCTGTGGAGTTACAACCTGTGGAGTTACAACCTGTGGAGTCACAACCTGTGGAGTTACAACCTGTGGAGTTACAAATTGTGGAGTTACAACCTGTGGGGTCACAAGCTGTGGAGTTACAACCTTTGGGGTTACAACCTGTGGAGTCACAACCTGTGGCGTTTCAACTTGTGGAGTTACAACCTATGGAGTTACAACCTGTGGAGTTAAAACCTGTGGAGTTACAACCTGTGGAGTTACAACCTGTGGAGTTACAACCTGAGAAGTTACAACCTGTGGAGTTACAACCTGTGGAGTCACAACCTGTGGAGTTACAACCTGTGGAGTTACAACCTGTGGAGTTACAACCTGTGGAGTTACAACCTGTGGAGTTACAACCTGTGGAGTTACAACCTGTGAAGTAACAACCTGTGGAGTTACAACCTGTGGAGTTACAACCTTTGGAGTTACAACCTGTGAAGTTACAACCTGTGGAGTTACAACCTGTGGAGTTACAACCTGTAGAGTTACAACCTATGAAGTTACAACCTGTGGAGTCACAACCTGTGGAGTTACAACCTGTGGAGTTACAACCTGTGGAGTTACAACCTGTGGAGTTACAACCTGTGGAGTCACAACCTGTGGAGTTACAACCTGTGGAGTTACAACCTGTGGAATCACAACCTGTGGAGTTACAACCTGTGGAGTTACAACCTATGAAGTTACAATCTGTTAAGTTACAACCTGTGGAATTACAACCTGTGGAGTTACAACCTGTGGTTACAACCTGTGGATTTACAACCTGTAAAGTTACAACCTGTGGAGTTACAACCTGTGGAGTCACAACCTGTGGAGTTCAACCTGTGGAGTTACAGCCTGTGGAGTCACAACCTTTGAAGTTAAAACCTGTGGAGTTACAACCTGTGGAGTTACAACCTGTGGAGTCACAACCTTTGAAGTTAAAACCTGTGGAGTCACAACCTGTGGAGTCAAAACCTGTGGAGTTACAACCTGTGGAGTCACAACCTGTGGAGTCACAACCTGTGGAGTCACAACCTGTGGAGTCACAACCTGTGAGTCACAACCTGTGGAGTCACAACCTGTGAAGTTACAACCTGTGGAGTTACAACCTGTGGAGTCACAACCTGTGGAGTCACAACCTGTGGAGTCACAACCTGTGGAGTTACAACCTGTGGAGTCACAACCTGTGGAGTTACAACCTGTGGAGTTACAACCTGTGGAGTTACAACCTGTGGAGTCACAACCTGTGGAGTTAAAACCTGTGATGTTACAACCTGTGATGTTACAACCTGTGGAGTCACAACCTGTGATGTTACAACCTGTGGAGTCACAACCTGTGGAGTTAAGACCTGTGGAGTCACAACCTGTGGAGTTACAACCTGTGGAGTTACAACCTGTGGAGTCACAACCTGTGGAGTTACAACCTGTGGAGTCACAACCTGTGGAGTTACAACCTGTGGAGTTACAACCTGTGGAGTCACAACCTGTGGAGTTAAAACCTGTGGAGTCACAACCTGTGGAGTCAAAACCTGTGGAGTCACAACCTGTGGAGTCACAACCTGTGAAGTTACAACCTGTGGAGTCACAACCTGTGGAGTCACAACCTGTGGAGTCACAATGTATGGAGTTACAACCTGTGGAGTTACAACCTGTGGAGTTACAACCTGTGGAGTCACAAGCTGTGGAGTTACAACCTTTGGAGTTACAACCTGTGGAGTTACAACCTGTGGAGTTACAACCTGTGGAGTTACAACCTGTGGAGTCACAACTTGTGGAGTCACAACCTGTGGAGTTACAACCAGTGGAATTACAACCTGTGGAGTTACAACCTGTGGAGTTACAACCTGTGGAGTTATAACCTGTGGAGTTACAACCTGTGGAGTCCTGAATGAATTCACAACCACCATTACTCTCCAGTGTCAACATTTAAACGATGCTTTCGTCTGTGTTTACATGAGAGAACATTATTATTCCCCTGTATACGTATCGTCTTGTGCGTGTACATGAGTACATATGTATAAATGCTTGGCGTGCAAGGCCCCCAAGTTCAGTAGTTGACGTCATTGCGGCGAGGGTTCGATTCTCCGAGTGATTATTATTGTTGATGATACATATGTATGTGTCGTGATCGCTGCTTCATTCCGAACACGGCGATTACACAACGATAACTCCCTTGCCTCAGGAGTCGTTACTACCCCCATGTAATTCCCCACACCAGAAGACCATTGGGTCGTACCACTAGGTTTATACACGAGCTCAGTGAAAGGACATATGAAGGTGATTAAAGGCCGTCGGGTTTGAGGGGAACTGACCTGTGAGATTTATATTTATTTATTTTACATGAATTTATATAGTATTTATATTTACGTAACTTGTTATGTATTTCGATAGGAATTGTATGAAGTTTAAGCAGACTCTATTTCTACAATATTCTTACAAATCGACTCCTTTATACATTAGGGGTGGGGGGGTTATATTGTTTATTTATGCAGCCAATCAAACTACAGTATTATTAAACAACATATATTATTAATTGAAACTGAGAGGCCTTATCTTATATGACTGATTTAGTCCTAAACAACCAGTAGGAACACGGATGAATAAGCCAGTCGATCAACCATGTGGGTGTGGCTGGCTCCCAACTCATGTACTGGTTACTAGGTTACTATTCTTGCTTCCTCTTCAATTGCTTCCTCTTCAATATATATATATATATATATATATATATATTATTAAATATGACCGAAAAAGTAAGATTAATAATTCTAACACGAATTTTCTCAATCTTTCGTACATTACGCTTCACTGTTGGAGGTAAATCAAAAATCACTTCTCCAAAATTCATTTTTATTTCTAGTCTGATGCAACACGGGCGCGTTTCGTAAAATTTATTACATTTTCAAAGACTTCACAAATACACAACTGATTAGAACGTATCTCTGATTTTATATCTACATTTGAGTGAGGTGGGAAGGGTGATGTGGCATTAACACAAGACAGAACAGGAGGGGATATTAATAGGGTATTAAAAGTATCAACACAAGACAGAACAGAAACAATGGGTATTGAATAGAAGTGTTTGTAGAAAGCCTATTGGTCCATATTTCTTGATGCTTCTATATTGGAGCGGAGTCTTGAGGTGGGTAGAATATAGTTGTGCAATAATTGGCTGTTGATTGCTGGTGTTGACTTCTTGATGTGTAGTGCCTCGCAAACGTCAAGCCGCCTGCTATCGCTGTATCTATCGATGATTTCTGTGTTGTTTACTAGGATTTCTCTGGCGATGGTTTGGTTATGGGAAGAGATTATATGTTCCTTAATGGAGCCCTGTTGCTTATGCATCGTTAAACGCCTAGAAAGAGATGTTGTTGTCTTGCCTATATACTGGGTTTTTTGGAGCTTACAGTCCCCAAGTGGGCATTTGAAGGCATAGACGACATTAGTCTCTTTTAAAGCGTTCTGTTTTGTGTCTGGAGAGTTTCTCATGAGTAGGCTGGCCGTTTTTCTGGTTTTATAGTAAATCGTCAGTTGTATCCTCTGATTTTTGTCTGTAGGGATAACGTTTCTATTAACAATATCTTTCAGGACCCTTTCCTCCGTTTTATGAGCTGTGGAAAAGAAGTTCCTGTAAAATAGTCTAATAGGGGGTATAGGTGTTGTGTTAGTTGTCTCTTCAGAGGTTGCATGGCTTTTCACTTTCCTTCTTATGATGTCTTCGATGAAACCATTGGAGAAGCCGTTATTGACTAGGACCTGCCTTACCCTACAGAGTTCTTCGTCGACTTGCTTCCATTCTGAGCTGTGGCTGAGAGCACGGTCGACGTATGCGTTAACAACACTCCTCTTGTACCTGTCAGGGCAGTCGCTGTTGGCATTTAGGCACATTCCTATGTTTGTTTCCTTAGTGTAGACTGCAGTGTGGAAACCTCCGCCCTTTTCCATGACTGTTACATCTAGAAAAGGCAGCTTCCCATCCTTTTCCGTCTCGTAAGTGAAACGCAGCACGGAACTCTGCTCAAATGCCTCCTTCAGCTTCTGCAGATGTCTGACATCAGGTACCTGTGTAAAAATGTCGTCAACATACCTGCAGTATATGGCCGGTTTCAAGTTCATGTCGACTAAGACTTTTTGCTCGATGGTACCCATGTAGAAGTTTGCAAACAGGACACCTAGGGGAGAACCCATGGCGACCCCATCTACTTGCTTATACATGTGCCCATCCGGGCTCAAGAAGGGTGCCTCTTTAGTACAAGCTTGGAGTAGTTTCCTCAGAATACTTTCTGGCATGTCAAGAGGAGTACAGGCTGGATCACGATACACTCTGTCGGCTATCATTCCGATTGTCTCGTCCACAGGTACGTTGGTAAACAGCGATTCTACGTCCAACGAGGCTCTTATCCCTGTGGCCCGTGTGCCCCGCAGTAAGTCCACAAATTCCTTTGGAGACTTCAGGCTGAAGGCGCAAGGAACATAAGGAGTCAGCAGGCCGTTGAGTCGCTTTGCCAGTCTGTACGTAGGTGTGGGTATCTGGCTAATGATTGGCCGAAGTGGGTTTCCAGGCTTGTGCGTCTTGACATTTCCATACGCATATCCAGGTTTATATTCCCCAATGATCTTTGGCAGGTGGAGTCCGGATTTCTTGGCGTTTACAGTTTCGATCAGTTTGTTGACCTTTGCTTTTAATTCGGCTGTAGTGTCCTTCGTTACCCTTTGGAACTTAGTTTGGTCAGAGAGTATGATGTTCATTTTCGCCAGATATTCGTCTTTTTTAAGAATGACATATATTGGCGACTTGTCACCTCTCCTGGCAACTATCTCCTTGTTCTCACGAAGGCTTTTAGCTGCCGCTTTAAGCTCGGGGGACAGTATGGTGCTTCTGTAGTTGCCTCGATTCTTTCCTCCTTCTGCAATAAGTTCTGCTTGTAAGGTATCTTTGGTAGTGACCTTCTTTTGTGTCTCGAGGTCGAATATGTCGTCCAACAGAATTTCCAACTCTACTTTCCGGGCCATTTCACTCGGTCTGGACATAACATGACAGTTTATGCCCAGATTTAGGAGAGTGACTTGGTCCTCAGTGAGGTTAATTCCTGCAAGATTCAGGAAGCCATCTCTTGGTCGTGGAATTGCCATAGGTCCTCCATATAATGTTGTTAGTTTCTTGATAATCCTTGTTTCAGTGCTGAGGTGATGTCGGTCTGTGAGGATGTCGAGGTGTTGTTCAATGCGGGTACGGATACTATGGTCGATGTTGCTATTTCTCCACTCGTTTGTAGCATGAAGTAGTTGCGTTTTGTTGTCTTTGATTTCATTCTCTGCCTTGTATATCTGATCAGGAATCAGATCCTGGCGATATTTTATCGTGAAGGCTTGATTCCTTGCTGCTGGGTCGTGCACTTTAATATTA